CCTTGCTGCCAAACCTGCATGGGACTTAGTAGGACTAATCTCTACTCTGGCATCTGGAGACCTGGGCATGAGCGGCGAGCGCTCGTTAAACAACTCGTCTAGCCCAATGACCGGTACTGTCCGGCAGGTCTACTGAGCTCAGTGTAGAGGGTCTGAACTCCGAGCTGTGGGCTGAAACGAAGGCCGTCTTTAAGTGTTGAGGCCTGGTTGAACCACTCCCCTACCGGACCTAGTAAGGCTGATGATCTGTGTCTGACGACTCGACTGTCCCGAGGGATACGAACCCCCCCAAGGACCGGTACAGACCGGCGGGCTGCTCGGTGTGGCATAGTAGGCCGGAACGACTGAGTTGTGCGCTGAAATCCCCAGGAAGAACTACGCTGATCACGTCGTCCTGACTGCGACGTTAAAGAATTCTTGAGGAGTTTGGGGGATCTCCTTAAATGCCTCCTGATCAGCTGTTAGTTCAGTAGTGACAGCCTTAGAGTAGTTGTGAGTAGTGGGTCTTAGAGAGTCAGTCAGTAGGTCAGTGTGTCCGGGTAGGTCTAAGTGGTGAGGAGTGGGACATTGTCGTGCACCTGACACCACGATGGACGACTATCCGATGTATGGGTTGCTGGTTGGGTTCTCCCTCTGGGGGACCCTCTGGCGTCTCCTCTTCCCTCTGGGGTTCTGGCACGCGATGACGTGTAGAGTAGATACCCGGGGTGGTGCTTCCACCAAGCCATATTCGAAAGAGGAGGAGGAGAAGATGGCCGCCATTCTGCAGGAGAGGAAGGAGAAGAAGGAGGCCAAGAAGAAGGCCTTGAAGGAGGAGCAGGCGGCCAAATTGCAGAAGATAGAAGAAGAGATGGCCAGGGAGAAAGAGAGGCTGAAAAAGGAAGAAGAAGAGAAGCTAAAGGAGGTGGAGGAAGAAGAGGAAGGACCGCCACTGCAAAGGCAGAATGAGCAAAACAGTGGCAGCAGCAGTGATGAGATGGAGAAGAAGATTTCGGAGTGGGTCGCCAACTTATCCCTGGGTGAGGAAGAAGAGGTGATGATGTACATCCCAAAGGATGACCAAGAGGCTGCCATGAAGGCTTGGGATGCAGAGAAAGACCCTCTTAGGCGACAGGCACTGGAGGACCAACAGAGGATGGAGTGGAAACTTGCCATGATGAGGGAGAAGAAGAGAAGGGTGGATGCGGCGAGTGAAGCGGTCAAAGAGTTGGAGGAAGTGCAAAAMCTRACGTTACAGTTGGCCCCGCAGGTAGATCTCCAACGTAAAGTGGAGATTATCGCCCAGAGCGTCGAGCGTTTAGCCAGGGTACAAGAACAACAATATGAGTTTAGTCGCAGCCAGGATATAGCTGTGCGTTCGATGCGACTGGGATTTCGGGACTTTGCCCGTGAATTAGTAGGCGCAGTAGGAGCCGAGGTGAATCATCGCCTCGAGAAGACTGAGCGCTTTTGTGTCGGCGCCATTGAGGTCGTCAAGATGGCAGCTCCCAGGGAGGAAGAAGCACGTTCGCTTAGGGAGCCGATCAAAGTCAAATTCCCTGACTCCTACAGTGGAAAAAGGGAGGCCAATGTTAAGGCCTACGTGCACTTGCAACAGGTCTCCCCGGATCAGCAGGTCCTGATTGCGATCCATGCCCTGAGAGATGAGGCCGCTAGTTTTGCAAGGTCCCTAGTTCGCGCTGCCAACTGTAGTGATGATCCCGTTGCGTATTCCTCGTTTACGTCCCTCACCGAATTCTTAAAGTTGTTGCGCGAGCGATTTGCTGATGTCGCTCGCAGCGTTAAAGCCTCAGATAGGCTGCAGACGATCCACGCTCGTAAGTGGAAAAGTGCGAGGGCCCTCAAGAGTACTATGGATGAGTTAGTGGCTGTCCCTGACCACGGGGTGACGAACACCCAGTTGGTCGGCCTCTTTTATCGGGTTATACCCGAAGCCCTTCGTGGGCATTTCTTCGCAAAGAGCGAAGACCCTGCCACTACATACGATTCTCTTAGTCGTGAGGTGGTGGCCTTTGAGGCCAAGTCTATGTCAGTTTCCACCTTCTGGCACAGGGACTTGGACAAGGGTAAGCAGTGGAAGGGCCGCACTATCTCAGGGCAAGTGAAGACTAAGGATAGTCTTGTCCTAACTTTAGACGAGGGTAGTGTGGATGAGATCCCCTACGATCAGATTGAGTGGGGGTTAGAGGAGGAGGACGGCGGTGTGGGCCAGGGGAGGACTTACGCTGCTGTCGGGGCTGGAGGGAGGCCGCAAGGAGGAGGACGAGGCCAGGGCCAAGGGGGCCGGGCCTCAGGGAGCTGGTTTCAGGGCGATCAGGGGGTTGGCGGCAGAGGAGGAAACCGCCAAGCGGGTGGAAGGGGTCAAGGTCCCCCGCAAAACCGTCCTAGGAATAGGTCTCCCTATAGGGTAGGAGGATGGCACCCAGTGCTACCGCAGGGTAGGCCTTGGGAAACTTTGGGTCTGGACCAGACTTTATGGCAACAACGATTGGACCGGGGCCAATGCATTTTCTGCGGTGACCCGGGCCACATCATCAAATATTGTCCTAAGTATCGAGAGACCCGAACGGCTGCCCAAGGGCCAAAAGGCAGCCGCCGGTAGGGGTAGCAACTGCCCCTACCACTAGGCCATGTGGGGAACATAGCGTTAGCCGACAGGAAACTCCCACACCACATGTGCCTATGGCAGAGGTTGCAGGCCGGTGTCTAGATAGCTGCCCAAAGACTGCTTGTGTTAGAGTCTCTCTAGACACCTCCCTCACGGGCGTGGCCGAAGAATTGAAGGAGAGGAGGCCCGCCTGGGCCAAGATGAAGAAGGAGAATAAAGGGCAGCTGATCTTATTAGATGCAGAGATTTTTAGAGGTAGAGTAGGGGCCCTAGTAGACTCAGGGGCCACCTGCAGCTATATTAGTAGGAAAGCGTTGCAAAAGTTGAAGTTGGGACTTAAAGTCCAAAAGCTAGCGGACCCTATAGTTAGTATCCTCGCGGACAATCGTACTATGGTTGTAGAGGATTACGTAGAGGGAGTCCAGGCGTATTTCCGCCTAGAGAAAGATGGGAAGGTGGAAAGGGTTCTCCACTCCCTGAGAAGACAGCCTCCCATTTGATATTGTCCTGGGAATGGATTGGGGAGAGGCAGCCGGGGCCACGCTCCATCTGAAGGAGCACGAGTGTAGGCTCCCTAGTTCTTCAGGCGAGGCCAAGACTGCCCGCCTTTTCCATGTGTCAGGAGTAGAGAATTCCTTGGCGCATTGCTGCCTTAGTGCCCCCGCGTTCGCCAGACTGGTGAAAAAGGAGAAGTTGGAGGAACAGGTTTTTGTTGCCTATGTTAGGCCAGTGACTGAGCCTACAGAAGAAAAGCCGATGGACCCTGCGATTGCCAAGCTGCTGGAGGAATTTAAAGATTTGACTGAGCCGCCGACAGGCACAGTGCCGCGGCCCATCCAGCACCGTATCGAGATAGAGCCTGGCAGTAGAACTCCTAAGGGTGTTGTGTATAGGATGTCCCCGCGGGAGTTAGAGGAGCTTCGCAAGCAATTGGATGAGCTCCTCGAGAAGGGTTGGATTAGGCCCAGTTCGTCTCCCTTTGGATCGCCTGTTCTCTTCGTTCCTAAGAAAGAGGGAGAGCTGAGAATGTGCACAGACTATAGGGGTCTGAATGCTATTACCGTGAAAAATGTTGAGCCACTGCCGAGGATAGACGATCTCTTAGATCGAGTGCAGGGGGCCAAGTACTTCTCCAAGATAGATTTGAAGTCCGGATATCATCAGATAGAGGTGCATCCTGATGACCAGTATAAGACAGCCTTCCRGACTCGATATGGGCACTACGAGTTCATAGTGATGCCCTTCGGACTAASCAATGCGCCAGCTACGTTCCAGCGCTGTATGAACGATTTGTTCAGGCCGTGGTTAGATAGATTTGTTGTAGTTTACTTGGATGACATTTTAGTGTTTAGTAGGACCCTCGAAGAGCATCAGGGTCACCTCAGGCAGGTCTTGGAGAAGCTGAGGGAAGCTAACTTCAAGATCAACGCAAAGAAGTGCGATTGGGCAAAGACCCAAGTTTTGTACCTAGGCCACGTCTTAGACGGAGACGGCGTTAAGCCTGAAGATAGTAAGATCGCAGCGATTAGAGATTGGCCCACGCCGCGTACGCTGACAGAGTTGCGCTCGTTTCTGGGCTTAGCTAATTACTATAGAAAGTTCGTGAGGAACTTCTCTACCATCGCTGCGCCCCTTCGCAGACTGTTGAGAAAGGAAACTATCTAGAAGTGGGACAAGGACTGTACGTCTGCCATGAAGAAGTTGAAGCAGGCATTAATAGAGTACCCAGTCCTTAAAGTCGCCGATCCGTCCTTGCCTTTTGTCGTCACGACCGATGCGAGTCAATACGACACAGGTGCAGTGTTACAGCAAGACGATGGCAATGGGTATAGACCCGTAGAGTTCATGTCCGCCAGGATGCCTTCAGAGAAGGTCGCGACATCTACCTATGAGAGGGAACTCTACGCTCTCAGGCAAGCGTTAGACCACTGGAAGCACTACTTGCTTGGGAGGCACTTTAAAGTCTACTCAGACCACGAAACATTGAGATGGTTAAAGACGCAGGCCAAGATGACACCTAAGCTTACCAGGTGGGCCGCCGAGATAGATCAGTATGACTTTGAGCTCAAGCCTGTCAAAGGGAAGTACAACGTAGTTGCGGACGCTCTGAGTAGGAGGGCAGATTACTTTGGGGCGATAGTGCGTTATCTCGATATAGGGAAGGACCTGCAGCAGAAGGTTAGAGAGGCCTACGCGCAGGACCCTATCTATAGTGACCTCCTTAAGAAAGTTAAAGAGGCCCCAGAGACCGAGCCAAACTACCGCACTACTGAAGGGTTGCTCTTCGAGAAGACCAATGTGTTTGACCGCCTGTGCATTCCCAGTAGTGAAGAGATTCGTAGCCTGATTTTGGGGGAATGCCACGACACAGAGGGTCATTTCGGTTGGCAAAAGACTTTATCCAATCTGATGCGCGCGTATACCTGGCCCGGGATGAAGAATGACTGCGTAGAGTATGTTCGCAGTTGTAAGGTTTGCCAGCGTAACAAGAGTAGCACGCGAGCGCCGTTAGGTCTTCTCAGGCCCTTACCGATTCCAGACCAGCCAGGAGACTCCGTGTCCATAGATTTCATGGACACTCAAGTCAAGAGTAGGCATGGCAAGAGCCAAGTTATGGTCATAGTTGACCGTTTCAGTAAGTACGCAGTTTTTGTTCCTTTGCCTTCAGAGGCACGTACTGATTTAGTCATACAAAGATTCTTTGACTGTTGGGTGAGCGAGTATGGAATCCCACTGTCTATAGTTAGCGATAGGGATAGTCGCTTTACTAGCCAGAACCGGCAAGAGCTCATGGGAGTATATGGATCTAAGTTGTTGATGTCGCCCGGCCGTCATCCAGAGACTAACGGTCAGACAGAGCAAACGAACAAGATCCTACAGCAAGTTCTGCGCATGTATATTAGGCCAGATCAGATTAACTGGGACGAGATGTTGCCCAAAGTAGCTATTGCGTACAATAACAACGTGCATCTGTCTACATGCCGCACTCCCAACGAACTGCACAAGTCCTTTAGACCGCGCAGACCATTTGAGGGACTCAACCGGGACCAGATCCACAGATTGCCATCCGGGACCAGATCCACAGATTGCCATCCGGGACCAGATCCACAGATTGCCATCCGGGACCAGGGAGTTTGCTGTACAGCACGAGAAAGAACTAGCTACTGTCGTAGAGAACCTCAGGAAAGCCCAGCATAAGATGATAGAGCAGGCGAATAAACATCGTCGCCCTTCACAGTTTCAAGTAGGCGACTTAGTCTGGGTCAGTTCTAGAGAGTTTGCGCCTGAGGAGAACATCTCGCAGAAGTTACTGCCCACATATAGAGGACCGTGGCCTGTTCTGGAAGTCAAGGGCGGCGAAGATGGACCGTCCTATACAATAGARCTCCCAGCACACCTCCATACTTACCCAGTTTTCCATGCGTCGAAGTTGTTACCTTGCCAAACAAGTGATCAGTTTCCATCCCGTAGATCTATGATACCGCCCGATATGGATGGAAGGTATGACATCGATGGCATAGTGGCTGAAGATGTATTCAGAACTGGAGGTAGGTGTCGTCCACAGAAACAGTACAAGGTTCATTTTAGTTATCAGGAACCGGAAGACGACCGCTGGTTTACAAGATCTGAACTTCTAGAGACAGCTCCCGATATAGTCCGGGCCTACGAGAGACAGCAGAAGGGTAAAGGTCCTGCCTTGGACTGAAATTTTCTCGGAGGACCTCGAATTTAGGCCGGCGGGAGTGAAACGGTATTCACCAATTCGCAGTAGCGAATGCACATCCCAGGGCTCGATCCCTAGTTCCCTGTCTTACCTGTGTATAGTATTAGTGTCAACCCGTAGACTTGAACCTGCGACCTGTAGGAATGCCAGTGGTAGGTAGATTGTCGTAGGTCACAGGGTAGAAGGGAATCGAACCGTAGACCTGTAGAGTAGGAGTCTAGACAGTTCCGAAGTCGTAGCKGTAGGATGCATGAAGGGTCAAGGTCGTAGCTGCTACTTACCTGAAAGGGCAAAGTCGTAGCTGCTACAGTACCGAAAGGCCAAGTTAGAGACTTCTAGAAGTGGCCTTTCGGAGTTAGCCTGCGTTCAGCAGAGGCAAGTGGTCAAGTGGTGGGAGGCCACCTCGCTGAGTCAACAGTCAGTCCGGTCCTGTCCAGCAAGTACCGTCTGGGACTGTGTGCACATCGTGGGCCAAGGGACACAGGGCAGACCAACGCAGCGCAGAAGTATAAATCAAGAGGCTGCGTCCAGCCATTCATTCATTCCTGCGGATGCCATGAGGAAGCGCTGCCTCAGCAGCTTGTGCGAGGAGGTCTGCAGTGTGCCTGAAGACGAAGTGGGCAGAGGAGTGTAGTATAGCGCTAGGGTAGTGGCAGCTAGCGCTGCCATAGCGGTAGTAGTGCATGTGTGTGTGATGCGTGTAGGTGCAGAGTGTTGTGTGTGGGACATCCAGGGTGATCCAGAGTGCGAGCAGTGAGTTGTGWGGGCGCACAGTCGCCATTGCCAGTTGGAAGAGAACTCTTATCTGGTCACGATATCTTTGAGTACTGTGTGGGCGCATGTCGCCAGTTTGCTGTATCGTTGTTTGCATGCAT